ATATGCAGTCGCCTCCATTTCTGAATATTCCTCTTAACGGCGGAGACGCAGTCCTCGAAGGAATCCGCTACTGACCGCCACGCCATTCGTTTTGGTATCCCTTCCATTTCAGAAGAGCTTGATCCCTCTCCGAATTCATGGACCTTGGCGCCTTTCCAGTGAGCTTCGTGAAGGCATAGGGTTCCCAAGTGCAAAGTTCTGACATCACGAAAAAGGATCTGCTCCAACACATGTGGTCTACCGCAACGCGTCCCCGGACATTCTTAATGTTATTTGTTTATTTGTTTATTTGTTTACTAGCACTTACGTGCACCATCGACAGCAAAAAAGAACATGAATATTAAGAGCATACCAACTCAAAGGCAAATCAAACCGCTCGAAGGCAAATCAAACCGCTGGCAAATCAAACCGAAACAAAAGAAAACATAAACCGTTAGGTATACTAACTAAATGCGGAGGGAAGCAATAAAAGGAGGGCGTACAAGCCAAGTAGAACATAGGCAACAAACCGATCATGCATTAAAAACCTCTTCCCCATACTACACCTCAGCACTACATTAGGGTGAAATTGATGAGCCATGTGGACCTGCGTCAGAGGACGAGGAAACATTATACATAACTACCGAGTTCATAATTAATGAAAGCGTATGCCTTTATACTATAGAAAGACAGAATTTCTCCAGTAAGCAACTAAGGCGGTGGGACTAGTTTAGATATATAAGAAGAAGGATCAGCCCGAGCAACGCAACTAGCCAGGGCTATTCCGAGGCGGGCCCAAGTAGATACCTCTTTGATCTAAATACGAACCTCAGGCGTAAGACCCTGGCCCAAGTGAACCTAGATGAAACCAGGTCACTTGTTGATCCTTCCTCTTATAGTAATAATAAGCGTGAGCGCCATTTTGTGCCCACTAGGTGATTCAGTAACTACGCTAAAGTGGCACTCTCGCACTCAATGTTAGTATTAGGCCGCGTAATTGAACGATTCATGCTGAAAGGGAAGGTCGTACCGAGCCTCCACTTTGGAGAGGGTCATGTTGGCACAGTATTTGCGACATCCTCTGTTTGAGGCATTGAAGGAAACATTTGCATCGAAACCACTTTGGACCGAAAATGAAGGGTTCCACCCAGAAACTTCGGAAGATATCGTTAATATAGCAACCTAGCATGCCGAGGTCAAAAGAAATTCTTCCGAGAGCGACACAAGAAGAGAACGTAGATAGTGCTCTGAGGAATTCTATTCGTTTTTATTTTGCTCAACTCGGTGGAGGTCGTCCAGCGCTGTCAAGCGCTGGGTGAACGAAGTGCATACAGGCGGACGTTTAGCTTCAAGGAGAACTGGGTCAATCAGATGGTTATTCGCAAGTTGCCAGGCTTATATTCGGTGAGCCAAGTGCAAGAAAGTCACTCTAAGACTCCGCCTCGCCGTGAATGGGTCTTTATTTTCATTACAGGAACCCTATGGACTCTGCGGACAGTAGTCCTTAGGGTTCCTGTAGTGAAAATAGTAACGTAGTTGGAGGTAGTGACACCAATCCCGATCTGGCATTTAATCGGGAGAAATAGGGTCACAAAATAAGAAAAGCGGACTACAGGGCGGGTAAATGCTGAAGCAGAAAAGAAGAAGAGAGGAATGAAGAAAAATGCCCAGAATTATCACATGCTTCATTCCATCGGCCTACTTATCATTGAACTGTCTTGCTTTGAAGTTAGTGTCGTTTAGGAGAAGAAGAAACAAATTTAAAAAAAGAGAACTGACAATTAGGCACCTCATGAAGGAGTGGAATGCGCCTGCTTGCTGCCATCTTAGGCAGAGTTCTTCCGAAGGCGTTTCGATAAATCCGCAGATGTCCGATCCGACATACCTATTTTCAGAACGTTTAACTACTCCTACAACACTCTTATTGAAACTCAAGTTAAAAGGATAAAAGGATACAGTTTAAGGTGTTATTAAGACCTCTTTTTGCTGTGGCACGCATTCTTCCTCCATTCAGAACTGCAGTGACTTATTGAATGGGGTGTGGCCCACAATGAAGTGCGGAGAAGCCGATATACAGGTCGGTGTTATTATTCTCCCGCACGAATCTGGTACCGGTTTATCGTCCTCGGAGGATAGAATGGTTCGGTTAGCCTGGGCGGGAGCTAACCCAGAATTTTATCCTCGGGCCGTGCGCGTGGTAAGCGTGCCTTTTTGCCACTATATCACATCCGCCTCAAGTTATGTTACTGTTATGAATCACATGTTTTGTAAAAGGAAACTTGTCCACAAATGTGTTGTGCGACTTTTTGCTATCCAGTAGATGACGTCAAATATGAGGAAGCACGCTTGGGGTCAGCAGTCCGGATAAGGGTCGTGAGTAAGAGTATACTGCTGCTTTGTTGCAAAGAAGGGGAAGTTAAAACTGGGCAAAAGCCGGGCAAAATTGGTGACGGGAAAGCGCACTGAACTGAAATTTGTTTAGACGATAAAAATGCATGAAAATTTCGAAATCGAAGTGAGACTGATTGGAGGCTCCAGAAAGGAATTCCTGAAAGGAATCATGACCTGTGAAGAAATGGTTTTCCTCTGAGTACCATTCCTTCGGTGGAGGTGGTGCCATTGACCTCTCACCGAGGGACAAGACGCGCAACCCAGTCTTGAAATTCGTATCGGGTTAGAAGCTTGTTCAGCTAAATGAAACCACTGATTTCAACAAGGGCTGACAAACTATCCTGAGTGTAGGTCATATGGATTTTAAAAACCACCACATTTTTTAAAGGCAACTGGCAGAATGAGTTGGCAAGGCATATATGTAGGGTAAAGACAGCTAACATGGAAGAGTATTGAGTTCCCGAGCAAAAGCAGCGGCACCTTTTCCGACCGATGGCGCCATTATAGTCCAACCACGGTGCAGCATGCCGACCCGAACGCTCACTGCAACCACCCGCCCACAGATGGCCGGAATTCACAACGACGCTGGTCCCTTGTCGCTTCACTCATGAAGTGCAATTGATATGAAGCGTTGTTACAAGAGTATATGAAGCCTTTGTTCGTTCAGTCACAACTCACGGTATGCCAAACATGTTGAATTCCTGGGCTCCGATGACCGCATGTTTGAGATCGGCCCATGAAGCTGTGTTGTCGCCCAACCAGTGCCCAGCAAAACGTCCAGCTGA